GCTAGATTTCTAGCTAGCTAATGTCTATCTAGGCTTACAAGCTTTTCTATGACCTTTCCAGTTGCTGGGAGAAGATGTTTCATTTTTAAAATCAGTCAGTTTTGATAGGCCTAATGTGTTCTGCAAGGAAAATGGTCCTGTGCAGAACTGCCTCCATGTACAAGACTGATACAATCACATTCCCTGGGCTCACTGTGCATGTATGGAGTGATTATTTGTCATCATGAGATCTGATTGTTATCTTCCTGCAGAGAGTCTGCAGTTGACCTGTGCATGTGTGGCAACTCCAGCATGTCTTGGACCTGTTGGACTTTCTGCACACCTATAGGGTACCTGTGCAGGAGTCATTTCCAGAAGATGGATAGCCTGCTTCTGTGTATGTTGGGTGACAACCAGACTCAGTTGCAGACTCTCTCGGTATACATGTTTTTGTTGTCAAACAAGCCATTCCAGTGCATTTTTTAAATTTCTTCCTTCTACTTCCTCCTACTTATTTGATCCTATGGCAGCCTCTTTTGTCTTATCGGTAGCTCATTTCAGAAAGAGAATCTTACTGCACTCCTTCGTGAGGCTACGGTGATGCTAATCTTTGCATCAAGTTTGTGCTTGTGTTCTTCCTGGCTGGTGCTTCTAGGAAGATCTTTTCCTCGGGCTTGTGGGCTGGATCTCTTTCCTAGCTTTTACCTGAAATATTAAGAAAAAAACCACCCAACTAATACAAGTAGAGCTAAGCTAGATCCCCTTAGATTACTTATCTTGGCATAGAGTCTGCCTGGATAACTTAGTTAATTTTCATCTTGGATACATCTGCAGAATGTCTTAAAAAAAAGTTTAAGTTCAGTGCAAGCAATTACCAATACATCTTTTCTAGATGTACTAGACTGCCAAAGGACTGGCTGCTGTAATCCAAACCTTTTTCTGTTTGCACCTCACTTCTGAAAGCTCCAAGTACTACAGCTGCAGAAGTGAATCTTTTAGAGAACACTTTCCGCTTCTCTGATTTGCGAAATGCAGTCGTTGCTTTTGGCATTTGGCACTGTAGATGTGTGTGGCATTTGTATTGATATACAAGTCGTACGAGGAGCGGCTGAGGGAACTGGGGTTGTTCAGTCTGGAGAAGAGGAGGCTGAGGAGAGACCTTATTGCTCTCTACAACTACCTGAAAGGAGGCTGTGGTGAGGTGGGTGTTGGTCTCTTCTCCCAAGTAACTAGTGACAGAACAAGAGGAAATGGCCTCAAGTTGTGCCAGGGGAGGTTTAGACTGGATATTAGGAAAAATTTCTTCACCGAGAGAGTGGTCAAGCATTGGAACAGGCTGCCCAGGGAGATGGTGGAGTCACCATTGCTGTAAGTGTTCAAAACACATGTATATGTGGCACTTCAGGATGTGGTTTAGTGGGCATGGTGGTGTTGGGTTGACGGTTGGACTTGATGATCTTGAAGGTCCTTTCCAACCTTAATGATTCTGTGATACATCTGTAGGTAGAAACTGGTTTAGTGAAAACCTTTGCATTCCTCTTCAGCACGGAGAGTTAGGATTGAGGATGAGGACTTCAGCATGCTGATGTACAGTATGCTCCTTCTCCCCAAATCCTGTTCTTTTTTTGGGTGCAGAGCCCTACTGACACGGCAGCATCAGACTTTTTCAGCTCCCTGTTCCCTGCTGCAGCACAGGTTCTAGGATATCTTGATGGGCAAGTAGCTACAACTCTGTTTTCTATAGCATCAGAGTGAAAAGCAGAGTCCTCACTTGTAGATGAGGCAGAACCATGCTTGTTCTCCTCTGCCACAGTTGCTTGTTTGCTGTTCTGCCTTTGTCCATCCACCTTGTGATGCCGGGGTTGGCCAGCTAAAGAGGGAAAGGACAGAAGTTGATGAGAGCTATTTGGACAAATTGCACAGCCTGCCTCTTCTCTGCAGGGGCGAAGTTGCTTCAAATACTTGGTTAACAAGCTTGGCTCACAAAAGATGTTTTCCATGCATAATAAAGTAGAAGTGTTCTTAAAACAGTTGCACTTGAGTTCCCCTGTGTTTGCTTCTTGAAGCCGTAAAGCAGAAAGCACTGCTAAATGTGGATGTATTTAGGGGACTGCATAGGTTGTAAGTGGGTCATCTTGGGTACATCTGCAGAATATCTTAATTTTTTTTTTTTTTTTAAGTTCAGTGCAAGCAATTACTAAAAAATCCTGACAGATTTGTGACTAAGAGAAGAGATGATGAACTGCCATTTATAGAGAAGGGATCTCAGAATATTAACCTACATCAGCTCTCCAGTTCCTAGGGCTAATACAAAAAATAAACAGGCTAATGCATTGTCAATAATTCAGAGCAAGATGAGCGTTGGACAAACAGAAAAATAATCAGAAAACATGGTAAACATCTGAAACTGGGCTGCACTTCAGAACCAAAATGACTCTATGCCCAAGCACAGCAGAAGTGTCCATTTGTGACTAATCTAGGACCATCCTTAATAGGAAAAGCAGGGATTATAGCTGAATGAACAAAACATCCAAAGCTTGAAAGCATGTTAAGTATGTTTTGTAAAACTAAGTATTCCAGAAGGAACGCAAACTGCATTGGGTTTGTGTGGCAAGATTTTGGTAGTGGGGGACTACAGGGGTGGTTTCTGTGAGAAGCTGCTCGAAGCTTTCCCTGT